TAAAAGCACCCGTTAGACTTAAATGCATTACTCTATAGATCAATAATACCATCTTTATTTTCTATCAAAATGTTTTGCAAATTTCTTAGTGTAGCAGCAATAAACAGTTATAGCCCTCTAAAATACCGTTTTAACGATGTATAACAAACACAATTTTGGCTCTGCTTTAAGCGGGTGGCTATAGCGGACATTTGCGACGCCTAAATCTTCTAGAAGTAAGCTTTCAAATTAGCATAGCCAATAAGATTTTTTTTTATTTATTTTATATGTGAATCGACCCACTTATTTTACATACATACATATAGTAACTACATGTGACTTTCAATTAGAGAAACTCTCAGCAGCTGCTACCCGTAATGGTCTACATACATGGTGGCGGATGGTTCAGCGGCACTTCGAGTCCACATTTACATGGACCCGAGTATTTTATGGATACAAAAGAAGTTATACTGGTGACAATCGCTTATAGATTGGGCCCATTTGGTAAGTTTTAGGCATTAATGTTGGTACATTTTCAATTTCTTTGTTCTTTTTCGATGGCATATTTTAGGTTTTCTCTCAACAGACGATGACAATATGCCTGGCAATTTGGGACTAAAGGATCAGAATCTTGCATTGCGTTGGATAAAACGTAATATTGCTGCCTTTGGTGGTAACCCAGAGATGGTAACGATATTTGGTCAAAGTGCTGGTGCCGTTTCCGCACACCTGCACATGTTGAGCAAGCAATCCGAAGGTATGTATGTATGTATGTATGTGGTTCCCTGACGTTGCTGCATTCCTTTCATACACAAATCTCATGCCAAATTGACTTGCAGGTCTCTTTCGTAGCATCATAGCCATGAGTGGCACTGCAAATGTACCATTTGGAATCACCGATAAGCCTCGTCAACAGACACGCACTCTGGCTAAGCTGTGTAACATTAGCAATGCAGATGAACTAAGCACCGCCAAACTGGCACGAGCTTTACGTGCTGTGAAGGCTGTCGAACTGGTGAATGCTGGTGATGGTCTTAAATATTGGAATGTCGATCCCTTGACCAATTTCCGGCCGATTGTAGAGCGACATGGCGAAAAGGATGCATTCCTTACACAACATCCGCTGCAGTTGTTGAGCGAGGGTAATTATACGCCCGTGCCGTGGATGGCTGGCGTTGTGCCGGCCGAAGGCGCAGTACGAGTGCTCTCGATTTTAGCAAACGAAACGCTAAAGCGACAATTCAATGACAATTTTCATGAGCTACTCGAGAAGCTACTCCAGTTCCCAGAGGCATTTAGCCGCGCACAGCTGAAAGAAAAGACGAAGCTGATTATTAATGAATATTTCTGCGGACAAGCTGAAATTAATAATGCGACGGCGCAGGGTTTTATGGAGGTGAGTACGTAGTGAGTAGTTACCTATGTTATATATTTTAAAGCAGTAATATGAAAGTATTCATTCCTTTTCAAAGTGCGTCAACGATCGCGCCTTTCATCATCCCTTCTACAATGCCATTGACGCCTACGTGCGTACCGTTGATGTGGAAAAGTATCCTATCTACTTGTATAAATTCAACTATAGGGGCCCTTATAGCTTCACAAACATATACACAGGTGGTGTGCCGATTGGTGATTTCGGCGTGGTGCATTGTGATGACCTCATTTACACCTTCCGTGCGCCAGCGCTCTTTCCAGATTTTGAGAAGCAATCGACACCTGCCGCTGTTGTAGCACAGATGGTTGGAAATTTCGTGCATTTTGCGAAATATGGGTGAGTTAAAATTGTGAAAAAAAAATGAATTAATAAGATAAAATGCACTAATTTTTATTGTCATTTATCTGGACCGGCAGTAAACCTCAAAACGCGGAAACTTTACGTCCATGTAATACAGCCACATTTGCGAGTAAATCGGATGCCTTCTGTGATTATCAGGAGTTTGTTAATGACGGCGGCGATTCTTTCAAAGTCCGCGTGACTAATGAATTCAATGTCATACGCGCAAAGCTGTGGAATGAGATTTTGGAAATAGGCACTCTTAAAAATTATTCCTGAAACCTAAACACCTCTACCCTTTTTGGAGAAATTTGGACTGATCTTTAAAAGATGCTTGCGCTAGTACTGAGATTTTTTAAGTAGGTAGTTAAGTCGAATTAGGAATTTTAAAAATGTATGTATTCTATTTATGATAGTTTTAGCATGTATGTATTACTTAGCTAGTTAGTCTCTGAAATGTAGAAATTGAAAGTAAAAAAATATATACAATCAACTGTAGTTTTTAATCTGACTTTCCCTGAAACCACCGTAGTTCAATTTTCGTTATACCTACATACGAAAATGCGATCAATATCGAGTTGTTAAGAACGTATGTACATTAAAGTGCAGCACTGTCCTTACGAAAAAAATCGGTACTATTTTTCTATCGGAAATATAATATTTAGGTACATATGGGTCATTCCATTGTGACTGTAAATCTTATGAATTTGCATAGAATAGTATCTCTAGCCACACAAACTTTCACTTATGAACGAGAAGAACGACAGCAGTGAACATTGCTTTACCATGATGGAATAATACAAGGTGTTATCAGTTGGCAACTTCTCGCTCTGATTCCGCCATATTGACTGCCTTACGTGAAACAGTGTTACTTCTTTAACTATTCTTTGCCCATTAATATAGTTGAATGTTTTTTATTTTTGCTCAGTATACACACTTTGTTTTCTTAAAAAGGTATTTTATCGTATTTTACTTCATTTCATATCGAATATACTATAAAAAAGCAAATTTTGTTTAGGAAAAAAAGTTGAAATTTTATATTTTCCCCCATATGGGGATTCATTTCTTCCCGTTTTTCTTCGCATTCTGCTGAGCTAAGGCAGTGTCAAATCGAGCTGTCACAACTGATACCACCTTGTATTATTGCATCATACTGCTTTACATCTACTTTATGAGCCGCCGCCGTCGATTATTTTTGAAGTTGACGACGCCGCCGCCGCCGCAAAGCCTGTCGGCGTAAACCTCTAACTTGTAGGAATGATGAAACATATTTTTAGGCTCACTTTTTAGCATAAAAAACTTGAAGCTCAACTGATAAGAAAGAAAGTGCGACGCCCTTCCGACAAAATATTTAATGGGAATTTCATATGCATATCCGATAAATCGCATCCTTTCTATGAAGATTTTTAATTTTAAAGCCAGTTATTTTCTTTAAACATCATTACTTGTACTTGTGAAAAATTTCCATAGAAATAACTATCAATTTTATAAAATATTCTTCACTCAATATCCATGTCATCCAATCTGCTGCGAACGCGATTTTTCTTCTTTGTTTTCTTCGGAGGCGGAGGTGGTAGAAAACTTTCTAAAAATTCAATGGTATTCAAAATAGTATCCCTGCTCACATTGCCAATGTGATCCTTATCAAAGTAGACAACTGGCTCATTCACCAGGTTCGAGCATGTACAGGGAGTGGAGCGAACAGGACCGAGCATTTCAACATCATTCGGCGCGTTAGCCGTTCCTGACAACGAGTGTAGATAAAAAATCAATATAAAACTTAAACTCTGTTTGCACATATTCCACGCTTACCAAAAATGGGTCTGAAGCACTCTTTTATCTGTATCCACTTTTGACAAAACTGCCTTATAGCACTGTCGTTTTTTTTGAAAAAGGTTCGAGCAGACTCATCGACCCGGCTCTGCATAAAAGTCGGTATGAATGGCCATTTGCCTTTGGCGGCAAAAAAGCAAACAATATCTGCGGTTGAATGAAACAATTTACATACATACATTTACAACTGTGGCTGTACTTAAATCAAAGCAAGTCAATTGCGAACACCTACAGGGTATATTGAAGATGTGAAAGAAACCACGTCGCTGCTCAAGACTGGAAATCGCATGGATACCACCACCTCTCTCTTCTTTGCCCATCTTTGCACCTACTAAACGGCGCTCCTCCTCTTTTGCGCGAATTTCATCTGCCGTATCTGCTAAACTAAATGGAATTTCTTCGATGCGTACGCTGCGTAGATATGCCTCGGTGAGCAGCATTTGGTAGAGCAGCAACAGTAAAAATATTGGCAGCACACAGCACAACAGTTGTTGCCGTAGCGATTTCATTGCATTGTACAACTTTCACTTTTTTCCGCAATTTAACCAAAAACTCCATTTGCTTCCGGCAAATGTTGGAAGTAAACTGAATCCAACTAACCACCAAAGTCCTGAATTATCCAGTATCTGTGGCCGCCATCTAAGCATGACGTATTATTAATTTTAATTGGACATGTATGAATGTAAGCTTGTTTAATGGAAAATCCGTGCAAAATCCAAGCTTTGCATGTCGATGGCACATTTGAATTTATATACTTTACATTCTGGCAACAGTCTGGGTATGCCAGTTGGAGTTAAAGTGCAATAAACTCTTTGCGGAAATCAATGAGAACTGATAACTGTCAGACGGAAGCGACATTTTTAGTTTAGTTTGCTAAGTATGTGCAGTAGTTGCATACATACATATCTATGTATGGCGTTCGACTCACATACACTCCATTAAATGTTAATCATACGCCATGTATGCCGCGGCTAAAATTACTAAAACACAAATATTACATATGTATGTACGTACGTACGTAGTATGTATCATCACCATTATGCCAGAGGCATGTATGTGCAAATTTACCAATTTTGAGTTATTGGCTGGACTTGATTAACCTTTGGATGTGCTATGTTATACCACAACCCAGATTACTATGCGTACACGGAGACCACT